GGGGCTGGGGGCTGGGCTCCCGGGTCTGAGGGAGGAGGGGCGGGGGCCTGGGCTCCCGGGTCTGAGGGGGGAGGGGCGGGGGGCTGGGCTCCTGGTCTGAGGGAGGAGGGGCTGGGGGCTGGACTCCGTGTCGGAGGGAGGGGGGGCTAGGACCTGGACCCTGGGACTGGGGGAATGCCGGGCACTCGTTCTGTAGGATCATGGAATTGGGGCAGCTCTGGGCTGAACACTGCCTCCCCCGCCCCCGGTACTTCTCTCAGGGCCTCAGTGACTTCTGCTCCAGTCCGGACACCTACCTCCTGAACCTGACCCAGGAGAAGACTGGGCTCAGCTCAGGTGACCCCATGGCCTCTGTGCCCACGCCTCCTGAGGGGGGATGGGGGTGCCCAGCTGTCCAGCAGGTCCAGCCCTGACCCTGGAAGTGTCAGCACCTCTCCTGCTGGAAGAGGAAAGGACGAAGATGCTGGAGCCGGGGGAGGATGGGGGTCCGGAGAGGGGGTTGGGCCCGAGGGACGGGAGGACTTGGCCATTGGAGAAAATGGGGAGCCTAATTCAGTCAAGGGGAGGCCGTAGAAATAGGAGTTCCCCGGGCATGTGGAGACCACTGTGTTCCTTGGCTGTGGCTGGAGCATTACAGATGGGGTCGGGGGCAGGTGGCCTATCCCTGAACGCCATGGGGATCACAGGAGGGTCCTGAGCCGGGGAGGAACCCGTGGTCCCCGCCCACCCCCACCTTCCCCCTGGGAGGCCCCGGGCCCAGGCTCACGCCTCCCCCTCTCCCCTCCCGCTTCAGACATCCTGAACTATTATTTCCTCTGCAACCAGGCGGTCTCCAACCCCTTCCAACAGGTTAGGGCTGCGGGCAAGGTCCCTCCTCCACCGGTGGGCGAGGGCGGGGCTGCGGCCGGCACTGCGGGGTCTGGGAGAGGGTGCAGGTGCCACGGGCCCCGGCTCTGGTCCCGAGGGAGGCGGGTGGGCAGGGAGCGCCGACTACCCCGTCTTCCGCAGAGGCTGACTCTGACCCAGCGAGCCCTGGCTAACATCCACTCCCAGCTGCAGGGCCTGGAGCGCGAAGCTGGCGTCCAGTCCTCCTCGGCTCAGGTGAGCCGCCCCGCAGTGAAGGCGTGGACTGGGCCCGCGCGGAGGGCGGGGCCAGCAGGGAGGGGCGGGGCCCGCGGGTTGTGGGCGGGGCCTTGGGGAAGGCCGGGCCTGAGCAGTTGGAGGGATAACCACCCTCCCCAACTTGCCTTTAAGGAACCTCTACTGTCCTTGGAGGAGACGCTGAATGTGACAGAAGGAAACTTCCATCAGTTGGTGGCGCTGTTGAACTGTCGCGGACTGCACAAGGTGATCCTGGTCCCCTGCCAGAATTCTCCCAGGGGAGCCTCTGGACCTTTCTCTCCCCCGACGTCCAGTCTTTCTCCCACTGCCCTTGAGAACCCAACCCTGTCATCACTCATCACAAACCTGTTCTCTCCTGTCACCTGTGTCTCCGTCCGCCGCCGGTATTCCTCTTCCGCGCCCTGCATCCTCCCCGCCATCCCCGACCCCTCCGTTCCTTCTAGTTCCCTCCCCCTCCCTCCTAGAGGCTATGATTTAAGCAAGTCGCTGACTTCTCGGGGCCTCAGTCTCCTCACTTATAAAACCGGGATTACAAGGATAAATCCGGAAATTTCCCCGGAGCCGTCATCCCCTGGGCAGGGGTGGGCGGGGCCTGGAGGAAGGGGGCCTCGTGTCCTGCAGACAGCCAGCCCAGTTCTGGCTCTGCCGTGGCGGTGTGGCCACCGGCAGGTGAATGTCCCAGCCCTGTCTTTCCCCACCTGCTTTGGCCTCTATCTCAGCCTTGCCCTATGATGCCCCACGGGCGTGGGGGCTTCACTAGGCCAGCTCTGGTATTCTACAGGTGGCAGCTCACTGGGCCCTCACGGGTAATGCTGTCAAGAAGCTGTTCCCATGAGGCTTGGCAGATGAGGTGGAGAGGGTCGGTCACCCAAGGTGGCAGGGCTGGCCTGCACCTATCCCTCCGGGACCCCCCACACCCCTGCAGCAAGGCAGTGCCTGGTCTCTCTCTCCTGCTTCTGGAATGTCTGCATGCCCCCTCCCCCAAAGGCCCACTGCAGCCCAGGCTTGGTCTTCTCCCTAGGGGAGGCCACGTGCCTCGGCTTCTGGTGTGTCCTCCCCATGGGCTCAGTAGGGCTCACAGATTCAGCCAACGACAAATATCTCTCTGCTATAAGTATGTCCCATGCCGTATGTGGGAGACACTTGGACACAATTTTTTTCATTGTTGGGTATGTTCAATTCAAATCTAACTGGGCATCCTGTGTTTGATTGGAGACCCTACCCGGATGATCCCTCTATCACACAACATGGATCCAGGCTGCTCCTGTGTCCATGTTCCTTCCATGGCTACCGTTTCCCCCAAGGCCTCTGAAAATGCACTCAACAATCCTCAGACGTGCTGAGTACCTGAGCTAACCCTGGAGGTTCTCCCAGGGGAGCCCAGGGCCCACAAACTTCTGTCTGGTCCAGGTGGACCCAAGGTCTATTCCAGAGGGAACGTAAGGAGGGACGGAGGTGGGTCAGCATCTCCACCCACCACTGATGCAACCTTGCGATCCTGTGCCTCAGTTTCCCTAGTCTGGGCCTCAGGGTCCCCACGTACTAATATCAGGATGAGAGACTTCAGGGATGAGGCGGCAGGAAGGTGGGTTCTGGAGCCTGACAGACCTGGCTTCAATCCCAGCTCTGCCCCTTCTGGGCTGTGTGACTCTGGACAAATGACTTGACCTCTCTGGGCTTTAAGTTCTCACCACCATAAATGGCAGCTCTGGAAGAGAGGGGGGAGTGTATTTCTGCCTTGCAGGGCTATTGGGAGAATTAGAGGATGTGCGTAGGTGCCAGACACAGTAAAATGGAGGCCCCTGTGGCCCTGGCAGCCCCTCCATCCCGAGGAGTAATACCCTTTGCTCTCTGTCCTTACCTCCCACAACCATTCCACAGGCAAGTTCTGTTGGCCCTTCATCTGAAAGTATCTGGACTGTGAGCATGGCTCTTACCACCACTGCCACCCTGGTCACCCTCCCCACGTCCCACCGGCTGGCCCTGGGGCCTTTCCGTGGTCCCCCTGCCTGCCCGCCCCATCCGCCCTCCCTGCAGTGGCCGTCTGCGGGTGAGCCTTTTAAACACGATCCGATCAAGTTCTTCGTCTGCTTAAAACCCTCCAGTGACTCCCTTGCATGCGGATTAGAGCTGGGGCTCCTCACCTGTGGCTTTCCTGGCTGGTCCTGGCCTCAGCCCTCTGCTCCCCCTCCTCACGGGAGATGGCTGTGAGCCTCCCATGGGTGGTCCCTCCTGGGGGCCCTGCACTGCCTCCCTCTGGCCCCCAGCTCTGAGCTCCTCGTTGTCTGAAATGACCTTCTGGGGCCTGGCTCCTGAAGCACCCGGAACTTGGAGCATCCCTGGTGCAGAGCAGGCTTTCAGCCAGTTCATTCTCGGCTCTGGGAATTGTGGCTGAGCGTTCAGTAAATGGTGGTTCTGACGATTTCCAGGGATGCCAGCAGTCACCACCAGCATTTCTGAGTGCATTACATGCAAGGTGTAATTCTAAGCCAAAGGTCCTGGGTGTTATTCTGAACCCACGATTTTGCCACTTGGCACATCTGGCCAAGGAGGAGACATACATGGTCATCATAGTTGGGGTGGGAGTGTTTCTGGCATCCAGTGGGTACAGCCCAGGGTTCTACAGCCCGGGTGCACAGCATGGTCCCCACCATGGACAGTGATCTGGCTACGCCAGCAGCACCAGGTTGAGAAGCCCTACTGTGCACCAAGCCTACGTGGGGGCACAGGCTGCAGCGGGGAGGAGGGTCTCAGTGATGGAGAGGAGAGATTTAGGTTCCTACCTGTGGGGTGTGATAGAGAACACAGCACCTACTAAGCACAGACAACAGGGGAGGGCATGGCGGCAGAGAGGCTGAGTGACTGGTCCGGCTTGCACGGCCAGACGGACGGTCTGGGTCCTGCACGCTGCCCTCTCACGCCCTCCCCCGCCCACTGCAGGACTACGGCGCCGCCCTGCGGGGCCTGTGCGAGGACGCCCTGGAAGGCCTGCTTTTCCTGCTGCTCTTCTCCCTCTTGTCTGCAGGGGCCCTGGCCACCACCCTCTGCAGCCTGCCCCGCGCCTGGGCCCTCTTCCCACCCAGGTCAGGAGGGGAGGGAGGCACGGTCCTGGGTGGGGAGGGAAAGGCCCCTCGGGCCATTGTTGTGGGGGAGCATCCTCCTGATGGATCCCCCAGCCTGCTTCTCTACCACTCCCCCCATCGCACCCCAGTGACGACTATGATGACACGGACGATGATGACCCTTTCAACCCTCAGGTACTGAACTGCTGGGCCTGGGGACCTGGGGCCCAGGTCTGAGGGAGGGGGCTGGGGGCCTGGACTCCGGGGTCTGAGGGAGGAGGGGGCTGGAGGTCTAGAATCTGGGTCTGAGGGAAGCGGCTGGGGCCCACACCAGAAGCCAGGTCCCCTCATCCCCAATCTCCTGGCAGGAGTCCAAGCGCTTCGTGCAGTGGCAGTCGTCCATCTGAGCCCTTCCTCCATGCCAGACTGGAGTCTGTCCCCCCTCTCTGGTGAGCTTGCCAGTGACCCCCGGCTGCGGGAGCCGGCCTCTGCCCTCCTGTCCTTCCCTCTGGGTGCTGTGCGGGCCTCCTGCCTGTCATCGGTGCCGTCTCTGCCTCTTGCAGTTCCCCCCCCGGCTGCCGGAGAAGACCCCACTAACCCAGCCTGACTGGGCTCTCACCACTAACACCACCCCTGGCCACGGACACCAGACAGGGCTCCTCTGCCTCTGCGTGCCCTTGCCCCTGGGAGCAAGTGGAAGGGACAGGCCAGGGTCTGGGGCTGGCAGGAAGGGGTAGCCAGCCAGCCCCATACCTCCGACCCTGGACACCAGACCCATCCTTGAAGGGACATGAGCGCCTGGCCCCTGCCGGGCCCCAGTGGGCTTAGGGCCTTGATCTCAGCTTGCCGCACTAACTTGGGAATGGGTTGATCTGAAATAAAAGGGAAGACTTTATTTTATGAGCACCTGCATCCTTCTTATTCTACTCCTTCCCTATCCAAAGGGATTGCTCTTTTTAAGGAAGAATAACTTTCCCCTGATTCTAAAAGCAGTACTTGTCTTCTGATGCAGTGATAGACAGACAACCCTGGAACAGAACAGACAGCCTAGAAATAGATCTCAGCGTGCGCATGTAGGACAGAAGACAGATCCCATGTCTGAGGTCAAGCTGTTTATAAGCCCTGTTGACCCAGTGGCTCACCACTGGGATGAAAACACTCTACATGCAAGACAGGTGGAAACCTCAATGTGGACAGAGAAAGTAGGAGAACTTGGTTCACTGTGTCCTGGTTGGAGGGGGAGGACTTTAATCAAGACACCTGAAGCTGGAAACAGAAAGGTGACAAAGGAAAAGGTTGACGAACGGGAGTGACAAAACTACCACAAAGTCACAAGGCAGACTGGCAGTCTGGGGAAAACTTTTTTATTTTCAAACACATACAGCAGAGAAATGTATTCTTAACATATAAATATAACCTACAAAGCTCCCATAAACTAAGACAAAGACAGCCTAACTTAGAATAAGCCATCAATGAAGTAAAAATACCAACAGTCAACAGAGGAAAAGATGCTCAAACCCTAAGAATTAGAAAGTGTGATTTGAAATAACCAGGAACTTAATTAAAAAAATGTTTTCACTACCCAGTGATCAGCAAAGTCAAAGGGCGCTAATATTCTGTGCTGGCAGGATGTGGAAGAACCAGGCCCTCCAGTGCACGGCTCCTGAGGCTGTGGACTGCAACGCCAGGAAAAAAACCATCTGCTTGCCTGTGATAAAACCCAAACTGTATAGACCCTTTGACCAGGCAGTCCTCCTCATTTTGGAATTCATTCACAGAAACAAAGCAGAGGCATCTGAGGTTGTATATGAACGGCTGTTTGCTGCAACAATTCTTCGATTGGCTCAGCTCTGGACACTAAAGGTCACGGAAGGAGGACGAGTCCAATCACTGTACAGCAGGGCTCTCTGGACCATGGCAGCTGTCAGCTGGGTATGGGATTTTAGGGAAAGCCTGAGAGGGCAGAGAACGGAGCTGGGTGCGACAGACAACTGCAGCAGAGAGGACACTCACAGAGCACCACGGTTAAGGGCCTGGCCTGCTACTCACCACCAGGTGGCTATGGGCAGTCACGTGACCTGTTGGACCTTGGCTGTCTCATCTGTCAGATGGGGATGGCATAAAGACAGTCCCCCAGTCCCTCCTCTGCAAAGAGCTCTGCACGGCAGCAGTCTTCCCCTGCCTGCCTGCAAATCCTGACCGGACCTGGCGGGAGGCGGGAGGCTGCTTACAGCCGGCTGCCCCTATTGTGAGCGCTTGCCTGCACCCTGCATACACACTGATGGGGGGACTGCTCAGGGCCGTGCAGGGTACTGTGTGAATATAAACCGTGTTACCTCTTGAAATTCTGATACTGCCCCAAGTGTTTCAGGTCAGGGCTTGTTGGCCCAGAGGGCCAGATGTCAAGTAGAGAGTGTGGCGCCTGCCACTGGGGAAGCTCCATTCTTGCTAATCATTTCCATCTTGTGCACTGTAAGGCATGTTCAAAGGCGATCTCACTGTGCAGGGGCCTGAAGCCAGGAAAGAGAAACTGACTAGTCTGCAGTGAGGGGCTCTGGGGCCCCCGTGCACTGACTCGCTTTCTCAGGACCCCAGGCTGGGCTGATCTGGGGGCCAGCCCTGCTGGGGCTGTTCTGGCTGCTTTGCTCTCAAGCACCGCCCTCTGGTGCCTGGAACTGTCCCCTGTCAGAAGCTGAAGCGCTTGCCGCTGTTCCCAAAGTACCCTGATTTCCAACGGCAGCCTGATTTCCTGCTAACAGGCCCGGGAGTCATCTTGAATCAGGAAGATTTAACCAAGAGAAAAGGACATGTTGCCTAACCTTTACAAAAGGTGACTATTTTTATCTTAAAATGACACGTACCAGTACTTCCAAACAAGACGGAGTAACAGGGAACTGGGTTTGCTCTCCTTCCTGAGACAACAACAAAGCCAGACAAAACAAAAACACGGGGACATCGGCACTCGAGGCTCCATGTCAGGCAAGGAAAGCAAGGGACCCCTGAGAGATGGAAAAGGGCCCCCGTGCGCCCTGAGGGGTTCCAAGCACAGGGGAGAGGAGGGGAAGTGAGGCAGAGCACCCCCCAAGGGCCCCGCCTAAAACTGCCCTAAAAAAGTCTACTTTAAAAAATGCTCAAGCTGGCAGAAGGCAGAGAAAGAGGAAATGGGGAACAAAGAAAGATGGGGCTAATAGAGACCCAATAACAAGATAATAAAACGTCACCAAACCAATAATCACGTTACGAGTACAAACACCTCTTAAAAGGTGGAGATTGTACAGTGGGGTAAAAAGGAAATCCAACCATAGGGTGTGGACAGGAAACCCACCTTCAATATAGCAGTTCAAAGTAAAGGGGTGGCAAATGCAATGGGGTAGTTGGGATTGGACTCTGGCACTTTATAAAGGAGGCATTAGCGGGAAAAGTGGTGACATTCAAGTAAAGCCCGCAGTTTAGCTAATAATAATGTGCCAACGTCAGTGTCTCGGTTTTAACACACCCACCACAGGAACGTAAGATGACTGCCATCTGGGTGCAACTGGGCGGAGGGTATGCAGGGCTCTGAATTACCCGCACAACTCTTGCAAACCTAAGGTTAGTATAAAAACAAAAGTTTAGTAAGACAAAATAAAAGGATGGACAAAGATCAACTGTGCTGACAATAACAGAGCGATAGTCGTTATCAACAGACAACTTTCAAATAGAAGATGGGAGGGCAGCTGTCTCGTAAGCACTGCGGTACCACCTGCTCCAACTAGTGACCGGTCCCTGGACCCGCCTGCACGGAAACAGACGGCGAGCTAGGTTACTTGCGGAGTTAAAACAAAGGCCTGTTTGCGGAGATGGCCCACATTCCTCCGCCTGACGTCACCTGCCTTGCGGCATCTGCTTCCTTGCTCACCTCTGCAGACCCAGGCCCCCAGACGCTGCTATCTTCACAGCCACCCGCCCTGCATCGCCTTCCGCCTCCGCCAGGTGCGCCGCGCCAGCCTCATTCACTAAGGCAGCTGCCCTTTCCGGGTGGGCGCTGCTCTCACCCGCTTTCCCGAGTTCCGCACTCTTCCCTGGGCTTCCGCGCCACTGTACGGGGGTTAGTTTACGGCTCTCGTCACACTAGTTTATTCGGAAACAACCACGGCTACCGCTCACGGAGCCAGAACGAGGCTTCGCGGAAGGGCGCAAGGCCGCCGGCTCCGCCGTGCGGGTCCCCTCGGGGCCACCGTCCCCACCCCGACTTCCGACTTGCCTTACGGCGCCCGCGCGTCATAGCGGGAGGGGCGAAAGGGGGGCGGGGCCCGAACTGAACTCAAGCTTAAGGCGCCCATTGGTTGTGCGGCTGGAGGGGACAGGGCGAGGCCTCCTCGTGATGTCAGGACGCCGCGGTCGGGACGTCGAAGCGTAAGGAAGACAAGAACCCGCCGGGTCGCTAGCAGTGCGCGGCCCTGTTGCTGTCGCCTTGGGCCGCCGCTGAGGAGTGCCGGGGGCGAACGGCTGAGGTGGGTGTGAGGAGCACCGGGCGGGTGGGCGGGGACGGCGTCTCCTTCCGGCCTCACGTCCCGGGCCCTGAGGCCTTGTTGGCCGTCTTACCAACGGACGCCGCGCGCTAGCGAAGACAGGGTGTGGCGGGCACGGGCGGCCACTGCGCCTGCGCACAACAGGTGAGGCGCGCGGCCGCGCACACGCGCCTGCGCCGTCGACCTCCGCTCTGCGCCCGGGTCCTCGGAATTCCTAGGACCCCAGCGCCGGTCCGTTTAACCCCCACTGACTCTGCGGTTCCACCGAGAGAACGGCGTTACCCCGGGCGACCCTCGCGCCGTCGTCTTTCTCCGGGGTGTGGTGCGCACGCGCCGCGCGGCCGGGGCGGTGGCTCCGGGGTCAGTCCTGCGGACCTGGGCGAGCTCTTTACCCAGCGCCCTCCTTCGCTTCCCCGGGCCCGCGGGACAGCAAAGTGCTCGTCGCGCCCGCCGCCCGCCTCCGCCCGTCAGACCCGCTCAGGACCCTCATTCCGGGGTCCCCAGGCCTTACCTTAGTCTTCCCGTCCTGGGCCCTCCCCGCCCATTGTCCCCGCCCGTGGCCCTCGTTCTGGCTTTTTGTTTGAGGCTTGTCTTCTCTGGGGCTTCCCCTGCTCGGGCTCCCGTCCCCCCCCTGCACTTCCTATGTGACTGTCGGGTTCTCCAGGGGCACCCGACTCTGAGCTCACCCATACTTAGCCGTTGTCTCCTCGAGTTTAGGGCCCCCAGTACTTGATCTACTCGCCTTCACTTTCTTGCAGTTCTCTCCACTCCACTCTCAACTGCCTGAGGCCGTTTGAACCTCTTTATCATCCCCAAAGTATTCTCTCCAGACCCCCACCCAAGAGGACTGCCCTTCTCTCTCCCAGGCCTACCCCTGCTCCTGGGAACCTCCCATACTGGTTCTCCTCTGCTTTCTGGAACCTTTCTGAAATTAGTCTCTTAAGAGCTTCCTAAGAACCCTCAGCTTCTCCCTGCCTCCAGGAGTAACTCCCAGACACTCCTTTTTCCTCTCAGATGTTTTCCTCCGTTGTCCGTGTTGTCTCCTCTCACGCCTCCCTCCTTAAAGAATTCCCCTTGGAAATCTAACTAAGGCGTCCAGCCTAAGGGTTCACTTAGACCCGCTCCTTGGAGCCTCCTGGAATCCTTCGTGGACTCCTTACTCCTTGACCAAGGGCCCCATTTCTGCCCTCTGGGTCTTCCCCCATCTGTCTTAGGGTTGCCCTCAGGCCCTTCCTTTCTTTCCTTTCGGACTTGCTGTTCTGACTGTTTTCCACCTAGAACGCCGAGAGGAGCCAAGGGTACTCCCTCACGCTGCAGCCCTTTTACCCACACCCTGAGTTCTTGTCAGATCGCTTACCCCAAGGCTGCTCCTTTCTCACACTCCCTTCT